TTCATGCATCATTGGCTGCAAGCAGTATCTCTACATAGGTAATTCTCTTCTTCACCAGACAAGTAATACACAGAAATTTTAAAACAGAGTGTTTCCTTCATGCATTCATGATTAAATCTCTTATTCTTGCATATATTTGGAATGACACATACATTTATATTTATATTTAAACTCCTCAAAGATGCAATAATATTACAAACAAAAAAGGAATCAAACCCACATTTAAACTATTATGACAACTCTGGGGGTCATTATACTTATACAGCTATGAGGATGCAATGCTTCAAAGTCTAATTCTACACATAGACTGAGCATACAAATTCCTTTTTTAATTTCTTCCGGCAGTAGGTGGTTTTGTGGTCACCTGAAGCTCATACTATTGTTTTGGTTCAAATGGAAAGCTTCAGTGTGTTAACACGCTTCCTTTCTCCATCACTAAGTCAAACAGTTCAAAAAGGGGCAGGCAACATCATAGTCCAGAAAGAGAAGCAGGTCGACAACAAAACACAAAAACCAAGATAAAAGTCAACAGGGATGTTTTCTCATGGACAATCTGACAGAGAATGTGAGCTGGCTGTGGGCTTAAGGTGACTGCATAAATAATAAGCAGGTGAGTGTGAGTGGAGTGGGGATGAGTCATTAATCAGAGTGTGAAAACAGGTCAAAGGCAAGGGGCTCTGAAATGACAGGGAAAACAAGGGGCAGAGACCAGACCCGCACTGGTAGCATGGCATGTCCTGACAGGGAACGGGCATTTTGGTCCTTAGCATTATAGACTGCTGTAGGGATTACTTTTTTCTGTAGGCCAACCTGGAAGTTAGCATCATCCTGGTTCCCTTGACAAAAAGCCAATGGGAATTTTTCATAGGCTTTTGGATTAGTGTGGAAAATAAGTTCTGTGACAAACAGCAATTTTTGACACAAACATTTTGTTCAACAACATAATTTTCACAAGTGAACACTACTTTAATGTTTGAAGCTCAAATACAATTGCCAGAGGTAACAAGCTATTGTTAGGCTATTGTTAGGTATTTTTAGTCAGATAGAAATTGGATAGATACTTTATGTATTAGAAATGTTTAGTGGAGATAGGATGTCTAGTTAGACTGTTAAATGCTTAGGCATGCTTATGAGTTTCTACAGGGTACATCTGGTCAAGGATAACTAGAGAGAAGAGTTGATGACTGTCAGCAGACAGGGTGTTTAATATTATTATTACGACGTGTATAACTGTAGCCTTAGCCATAATATGTTCTTATGTTTAAGTCACGACATGTACTAGAGGACGTGAGAATGTTTTTAGTTACACACCACTTAATCAACAGACACACACACATGCACATTGATTTGCTTCATGTTTTGACTACTGCTATGGCCAGCTGCAAAGCTGGCAACAGAGACGTCTCGGTTGACGTTTCTGTGTAGTATGGGGCTAGCCCAACCGAGGGGATATAATGTATAGGCCTGTTGGGTTCAGGGTCTTTCATCTTACATCTGCCTGCGAGCAGTTTGGCGGTGCAAGATACCTGAGCGTGTAATGTTAATTTTACCTGTGATCCTTTGAATAAATCAGCACTGTTTTGAAGTTACTTGGACTGTCTCATCTCTCAGAGTTAGCAATGGTAACAAGAACCAGTCCTACACTATAAACGAACTGAGCATGACTTCTACAAAATCCTTTCCTTTTAGCATAACACGATCTAGATAGTGATCATGGCTGTCCATTAGAATACTGTGCAAGTGCAAGTTTGAAAATAACAAGGCTACAAAGGCATACTACTGAGTAAGTTCAAAGTATTTATTTGTCATATGCACAGTTAGGAAACGTTTTTCCCTCTACAATGAAATTCTTACTTTGCCGTCCACATGAATGCCACAAAATACAAATGAAATGTAAAGTAGATAAATAAGTAACACAAAATCTAAGGCACTTTAAGCAGCAAATGCAGCAATATAATAAAAATATATAAGAATATAACAGAGAATGTATGCTGCATGGGAGCAGCATGTGCAGCAGTCAACAGTCAATATGCAATTATGCATGTGCAAACTGAGAATGTAAACAGTACATGAATTAT